TATGGGCGCTTATGTTGCAGCCCGGCAAGTTGGGAAGTTGGCAAGTTGTGTTGTGCCTTGGCCCGGTTTGGCCCTTCCTGCGCTTGCCATGTGTGGCAACGGAAGTTGCAAAATATGAAAATGACTGCGCAAGCGGAAGTGCAGTTGTGGCGTGCCACATGTGTGTGGCTGCCATGTAGCTGGGCCGCATTGTCTTGCTGCTGTTAATGGCTCGACTATGCCCTAGTCCACAGGTCCTTCTCCCCCATCTCCTTTACTCTCTCTACGAGTATATATTGTATATAGTCGCTGAATCGTTTGTGTTAAACACACACAAAAGACGTTAACGCTGACGTTGGCGACAACGTGCAGACGCACGCTTTTGGCCTTTGGCCATGCCCATGTTTTAAAAGTGCAAACCTGCCTAGTTGAACGTTTGTAGCCCCAGTTGTGTTGTCGCCGAGTTATTGTTGTTGTTGTTGCTGCTGCTGCTGTGATTGACTTTAACAAAATAGTTTGATGCTCTGCCCAACAGGCTCACTAACAGCCTCCACAGCCCCAGGACTCAGGACTCAACGACTGCGTGTGTAGGCCATTGCTTTTATTTTTTACGATGCTGGCAAGAATTTTTAATTTTCATAAGAGTTATTCAAACACACACACACAATAACAGCCACGCATACACACGCGTATGTGGCAGGAAGTCACAAAGTCTGAGGTACCCTAGATGTATGCTAGCTTAATTTTTATTACGGCACACAAAGTGTTAAGGCGTTCCAACACACACACAGATACACACTTGAAACCCTTTCTTCTCCCATTCTCTCCCCAGCAACAGCATCATATTCTGGCTATAATGTCTGTAATATTCCGGCGTTGCAAACGTTTAGCTGTTTAGCAAAGTTTTTGTGTTCAGTTATCGATAATGTAACTGAAAACATACTTCAATATATCAGTTCATGCTCATATTCACACTCTCCTGCTCAAGCTTAATGTGTCCCCATAAAGAGAAGTAATAATTTAATAAATTATGGAAATAAACAGAAAATACAAATTGTTTCTAAAAACGACACTTTAAAATATCGTAGAAATCAGGACATTGAAGGCTGCAGACTCAAAGCAGTTCAAATATATTTATTGTGCTCTTAGGCTAGTGGTTGGTACTTTCAGATAATCAGATGGCTATCCAGAAAAGGTTGAGTAGCGGCTATGGCAGTTGAACAAAACTCTGATTGCGAAAAACTTCGAAGAAAGCGAACTTTAATGCTGATTATAATATTTATGTTAAAATACACAAAATTTGCTTTAAAGCCTTAAAGCTTAATCAGGGAGGAGTACTTCAAAAAAAGGCAGCAATGTTAAATAATCAAAGTTAAAACTTTTGACTTTCAACTTTCTGTTTTAAAAATAAATATTTCACACTCTATAGCCTGGCATTCGCAGTACTATGTTTAATCGCAGCAGTGTGTGTAAAAAAATCGAAGCTGTTTGAACGAGTTTTTGCGGAATCGCTCATTAAAAGGGAATACAGTTTTTGCTCAACTTTGGCAGAATCAGCGGCTTACGTATGTTAGTCAAAAATGTTGAATGAGAGTTGCATTCATCCATGCATACTCGTATATCTGTGTATATGTTTTGTGCTTTCTCTATTATTTTGAAGCTTAAAAGTTGTGGCACGCCATTGAAATACCTTGAATACGTTTGATTATTCGCCATTTGAAATTGTTTATATTGGCATGGCTTTTAATCGTTATTTGAAATGCTAGTATGTTGCGCTTGCCTCAAACGATGCAACAAGCGTAATAAATGTGCAGCAATACAAGCCAAATAGTATGCAATAAATTTCCAAACAATCAACATTGATGTACGAGTACGCGTACGCGTATGTGTGTAGGTGAGCGGCAGCAACAAGAACAAAAACAAAAACGCATAAAACGCGCAGTTACAACATGCCAGACCTAAAATGGTGGCACTAAAAACCGCGCACAACAATCTACCAGATACATCATTTTTAGTTGTACGACGAGTATTGCAGACACATTTCATTGCTTTTTTATTTTTTGTTTTTGTTGTTGCCATTCGTAACAACAAACACCAGAAAAAAAAAAACAGAAACAGAAAAAAGAATAGAAACAATAATAAACACAACCCATGTTACGGCTGATGTGTTGCTCGGTTTTGCAACATTTAGCACTGCCTCTGTATTTTTACAATTCATATCGTACATATATAGCATATATACTTTATGCTATAGCAGCCGGAGCAACATGAGTCATTAAAATGATTCACTCAACTGTAGTCGCTTGTACAATATATTTTTAGTGGTTTTCTTTTTCTTTTTTTTTTTAAGTGGAGGATGGGAGTTTATTGTGCGAGTCAGAAAGCATTAGATGTTTGAACATAGTTCCCCTGCATCACATTTAATTCATAACCTTAATCTATTATTTTGATTGATTAACTTTAAAATCTGTCGTCTATACTCGTATACCGATATCCAATCGGTTGTCTTGCATACCAGGGATACTATGGTTAATATATTTTCTTGTACAATATATTTTTTAAGTGATGGGTGGGAGTTTATTGTGCGATTCAGAAATCATTAGATATTTGAAAATATGTATTATTAATTAATTCATAACTTTAATCTATTATTTTTATTTATTTTATTTTCTTGTACAATATATTTTTGAAGTTTATTTTGCGAGTCAGAAAGCATTAGATATTTGAAAATATCTATTATTAATTAATTCATAACCTTAATCTATTATTTTTATTTATTTTATTTTCTTGTACAATATATTTTTGAAGTGGTGGTTGGGAGTTTATTTTGCGAGTCAGAAAGCATTAGATGTTTGAAAATAGTTCCCCTGCACCACAATTAATTCATAATCCTAATCTATTATTTTGTTTGATGAACTTTTAAAATCTGTCGTCTATACTCGTATACCGATATCTAATCGGTTGAGAGCTTTCTTGCATACGTGGGATGCTTTGGTTAATTTTGTGTGTCTTGGGGTTATAAAAATATAAATTTTGCAGTCAAAGTTTGTTTGTTTTAGCCAGCCTTGAATGGCGGGCATCGCATTATACACACATTATCCACATTACCATATAAAATGTGGCCATAAAATGAGCGTAAAGTGGCAGGTCTGGCAGTGCATTTATGTTACCTTCTCCTTGATTTTGATGGGCGCCAACAGAGGTGGTACTACGGCGAACGATTGGTGGCGGCGCAACACATGAAAATTAACACTTTTTATATGATTTTAAAAGCCATATAAAATTTACGACATTGCCATGTCGAGGGCGAAAACAACACAGCGGGTGGGGGGCGGCATCAGGCATGTATCTAAGGAGGCGTGGCTTGCAATCTCCACACATCTATTAAATATCGAGCACACTTTTCCGGCATATTAAGCTAATGTGAATGACACATATAAAGAGTCATAAACTCAGCATGGCATTCATTCGGCTGATGTATAGTATACTATACAGTTCAGCCATTATATTTATATGGCTAATAAACAATGAAATATGTAGACACACAGTCGGTCGGTCGGTCGGTCGGTCGGTCGGTCGGTCGGTCGGTCGGTATACTCGTATGCATAAGTTAGTATGCGAATGCAATGCATATCAAAATTGCGCTCTTAAATTAACATTTATGAATACATTTTTTGGGGCAGGAATCGGCTGGATGCCTGATGGAGCGATTGTTAGTTTGTTGATTTAAAAATATTGATTGAGTCCATAATTAGCCAATAGCTGCATAAAATATAAAACTCGTTAAGTTTGTGATGGCTATTCTGGCCCAGTTTTCAATTATATGCCACAAATTTGACAAAAAATATGCAACATTTTGCTAAACATTTTAAGTAAATGAACGAAATTATTATAAACTATGATGTCAAACCGTTTTCAAAGCCTTATTTTAGTCAGCAAGATGCTTATTGTAAATATAAGATGAAAAACTTGCCTTTTACCAGAAACGAAAAGGTAGTCCGAATTGTCGAAATCGATTGAGCAGCTTTGATTTACGATTTGCGGAATTAATTCTCCAATTATATGAAGGACTTTTTTGGCTTAGTATGTATGTGTCAAATGGCGCCTTAATATCAATCCAAAATGATATGCAACGGGCTTAAATATAAATAGAGCAATTTAAAGACTAGATTTTACAAGAAAGTGGATATCGTGAAGTAACCGTTAGCTTTGGAAAGCTAATTAATAAAACTTTACAGTCAGCTGTTTAGAAAATTTAAAATGAAAATGCTTTTCACTGAATACTGTACATATAAAATTTAGTTTTTTACCAACCATTAGAGGAATGCAGGCTAGGCAATAGATATGGGGTTTTTAATATGAAAAGCTTCAATGAACATTTTTAATAATCTGCTTAGAAAAATCAGTTATTTAAAATCAAAATCAACTTATTTAATTTTTTTTTTAATATGTATTTGTTAACGGCAACCGACTTAAATATAACTAAAGCAATTCATGGAATAGATTTTACAAGAAAGTGGATCAAATGAAGGCTTGATTTTAAAGGACGAGGTATTATTAATATCAAAATATAGAATATGAAAAAAATAGAATGGAACTGTTTAATCAGCTGCTTAGTGAAATAAACTATATTTTATTGCAAAAGAAAGTTCATAAAAGTGCTAAACAGCTTTTATACTTATTATTAAAAAAGTCAATTTCAATTTATTCACATTTCTTAAAACATTACGAATTTACTAGTGAGATAACTATGTCTTAATGTCAAGAGCATATCCTTTTCTACATAATTGAACAAACAGGAGAAATATTAAAATTTAAACAACAATTGACAGTGTTAAACGGGAAAAATTACATACAAAAAAAAACTTAATAAACTAACTTTATAGAAGTTTTTTATTATTTATTATTAAAAATGAAAACTTAATTACTTTGCCTTAAAATTAGCTTCAAATGGCATTTGAAATTGTGGGTTAATTAGTGAATTCTGAAAACAAAAACCCCTAAGCCATAAGCCGTAAAGTCTAATGACAGCCACATTCCCTGGCGACCGCCTTCTGGTACTTAGTCAAATCGATGATATCCTCGCTTAAATAGCGCAATATGGTAATGGCGCCGAGGACGGTGGGCACACAGCAGGGTTTGGGCAAATGGGGCTGCTTCAGATGCATCAAGGTCTGTACAATGGCATGATTTGTGGCATTCATTTTGGTGCCGAGCGGAAAATTGCAGCCACCGCCACAGAAATAAGCCTCGAACTTTTTGGGCGCTATCACCCAATTGTGCATCTGCAGCTCTTTAAAGTCCACCGTGAAATTGAGACGCTCGCAGGACTGTGGGGGGCGATAATGCTCAACGGGAGGCGCTTTCATCATACCACTCGGTAGCGTGGCTTTTCGTTTGTGCAGCTCGCGTTTAAAGCGCAACTTTTGTATCTTCACCAACAGCTCGGGGCCGTTAAAGTAGCCCACAATATAGGGCTCCATACTCGAGAGCCCCGAGTGCGGCGGCATAATGCCACTGTCCAGGGCACTCAGGTGTACCTCATCCGCTTCAGTCACCGATATGCGCACCTCGTGGCCCTGCTGTAGTTGCTCCAGCGTCTTGTGTTGCAGCCAAAAACGCAATGTTTGCGTCAAATTGAATTCCAGCCAGCCCTTGAAATTGGCAGTCGTATTGACCGAATGCAGTATGCGATAGTTGACAATATTCGTGTCCTGTTGTCTGGCATAGAGCCGTCTGTATATGGAAATTGTCAGATTCTGATTGCCAGCATCCAGACTGGGCTGTTTGTACACCCGCAACATGGCCTGCACGAGTGTCAAGTCCAAGGGCACATCATTCGTATTGAAAGTTATGTGCAGATCCGTGTGGCATTCGTTGCGTTTCAAGCGACTAGAAAAGGTCAGGATGCTGTTACAACTGGCTATCTCCTGACGATCCTCGTTGGAAATGAGTATGTCATCATCGACGGAACGCTTGTGCCGCTGATGCAGCACCTCCTCTGGTTCCTGTGACTCGCTTATCTCATTGTATACCTCCAGCAAAAACTTTGATGCCGAATTTCGCAAATTCGGCTGCTCCAGACGCTGTGGTCGATCGCCTAAGTCGAGTAGATCCAACATTTCGAATTGCTCATTAATCGGCTGCTGATAGAGCGGTGGCTCTACATGACTATCCGTTGTTATAAATGTGGTGGCCTCTAAACAGCGAAAGCAAGATACGAGCACCAAAATTAAGCTGAATATCATGATGTTATAGTAACCAATAAGTAACTGAGTACCACTGACGAGCTGGCAGGCACTTATATAGAGACTCAGGTAGACAAGCTGCCGTCAACAGCTGTGTCAACAGAAAGTGTTGTATCACAGGTAATATTCATAAACTGGCCAATAAGTTTGCCACTAAACAGCTGAACTGAAGGGCAGAATAGCTACCCTTGTCCAATTGACCGTATTTTCCAGTTTTTATGGCCCGTTTTATTACTCCCCATGTAAATCAAATCAAACGCTGTTATGTGAAAACAAGCATAACGTTTGGTACAATTTTAATGTAGAAAAGAATCAAACAGTGATCTAGAATAATGGCAGATGATAGTGCGAGGCTAATTGATACCTTTTTAGATTATGAATAGCTCTTAAGCTGAAGAACTGAAGGGTAACACAGTAAAAAATTTGATAAAATGATTATTAAAACAAAGGCACCAACGGCTTATAAACAGTTAAACTGAAGGCCAATAAGCTGGCCAGTTTCATAAACCGTAGAACTGGCAGCTTAGCTAATGAGCCGCAGAACTAAAGGGTAGGTTAGGTTAGGTTAGGTTAGGTTAACTAAAGGGTAACACAGTAAACCCTTTATAACTGAGCAAATGATGGCCAATAGTTTATAAACAGTAATGCTGAAAGCCAATAATCTGGCCAATAAGCAGGTTTATAAAACGCTGAACTGTCAGTTCAGTTAACGAGCCGTAGAACTGAGGGGTAATATAAGTAACCCTTTTATAACTGATCAAATGATAATCAAATCATAAGCACCAATAGTTTATAAACAGCTAAGCTGAAGGCCAATAATCTGGCCAATAAGCAGGTTTATAAACCGCTGAACTGTCAGTTCAGCTAACGAGCCGTAGAACTGAGGGGTAATATAAGTAACCCTTTTATAACTGATCAAATGATAATCAGGTTATAATTCAGGTTATCTTAATATTCTCTATGCTGTACCCAAAAGGTCAACGAAGGTAAACTAGTTTTTATTGCTCTTCTAGGGGTAGCAACAAATAATGATTAGCTACTACCCTCACAGTTAACTCAACCCTGGTGCTTACCTTATCTTTAATATGTATCTTAAGAATGTTAACTTTAACTAGATGTTAAATTAAATCAACGCCTTTTAAAACGTATCTATTCCACGTTTCTTAATCGCTTTATCTTCTTACCTTTGCAGGCTTCTTGCAAATCGAAAACAGTCGCGAAGAGGATCAAGGCAAATACGAGTGTGTGGCGGAAAATTCCGTCGGCACCGAACACTCCAAGGCCACAAACTTGTATGTTAAGGTGCGTCGCGTGCCGCCAACCTTCTCACGGCCCCCAGAGCCCATTAGCGAGGTGATGCTTGGCTCTAATCTTAATTTGTCCTGCATTGCCGTTGGCTCACCCATGCCGCATGTTAAGTGGATGAAAGGTAACAGCAACAACAATCATATGTAAACATTATTAACCCACGCCACTTTCCCCGCAGGCGCGACCGATTTAACACCTGAAAACGATATACCCATCGGACGCAATGTCCTGCAGCTGAGCAACATACAGGAGAGCGCCAACTTCACGTGCATAGCAGCCTCCTCGTTGGGCCAAATCGAGGCCGTTTCGGTGGTGAAGGTGCAATGTAAGTAGCAGCAATTTTTGTCGTCGCCCTCGGATTTAATTGAATGTCCACTCTGTTTTGATTGTAGCGCTTCCCACGGCACCAACTGATGTACGAATTTCGGAAGTAACCGCCACTTCGGTGCGGCTGGAGTGGTCCTACAAGGGTCCCGAAGATCTCCAATACTATGTCATCCAATACAAGCCAAAGAACGCCAATCAGGCCTTCAGCGAGATAAGCGGCATCATAACCATGTTCTATGTGGTGCGTGCTCTGAGTCCCTACACCGAATACGAGTTCTATGTGATAGCTGTGAATAATATTGGACGTGGACCGCCGTCGGCGCCAGCGACTTGCACCACCGGTGAGACAAGTGAGTATCGAATGAAAGATTAATCGCCACCACCAGCAACTAACTCTCACTCTTTTACTCACTTACATGCTGCACGCCCGTACAGGATTTTTATCCATTTTGCTTTTAAGTTCATGTTGCCACTCTTGTTTTTTGGTATTTGGTTTGGTTTGGCTTTTAAATCCTCTTTCGTTTGTGCTATTAGAAGCTCTCTAGAATAACCCTTTTTCCAAATGTTTTTCTCCACTCAAATGCTGCTCGTTTAGGCGATTTCTCATTTGGTGGCACAAGTAAGTACCACACACCACCCAGACGATGTCTAGCACTTGCCGTAATCCATTTGGCAAACAAAATGTTATGTCTGTCGAAAAATTGCCAAAACAATTTCAAAACCAATTGCATACAAAAGCGAGCAGAGCCCTAAATATTGACCGCAAAAAAAAACATGCCGAATGCTGAACTCGGACGCGAACGACTTTTGATTACACTTTGCATGGAGTCTTTAAAGTAAAAAGACTTTATAGAGAAAATGTATAATTATTTGTGACTAGTTTTCTAAAATGAAGCCCCATTATTGGTTTTAATTAAAGTTAGATTGGGGGTATACTTACGAAATTCGATAACAATTATGTGCTGGGCAGACACACAAATAATTAACAACACATTTATTCTAGAATATTTGTTTTTACTAATAATAAATAATTGGCCTATTTCAATTACTTGCATCAAATTCTATAGCAATTCTATATTAAAAGGTAGTGTCATGTTACAGCTTATCCTTTCGGGAGTTCATTTTCTGAGACCTGCTTGTAACAGCTAAAGAATATGTGTTCAAATTATTTGATCGCAAAAATATAATAGTTATTGGGCACGGATATTACGCCTTATCCACTTCATCCATAGATGCTGAACAAATATGCGAGAAAATTGCATTAAAAAACTAGCCTTTGAATAGGGTTTCTGTAAATTAAAGCTAGCATTGCCAAGCCTAACCCCTGAAATTAAACCGGATAAATATTGTTCTACTGTTTGGTTACGATATCGCAATTAACAAAATTGTGCTACAAAGTGTGAGTTTTGTCGCGATTGTTTCTTTGACGAAAGTAAAGTCAGATAACACATAATTTATATACCCATTGGGTAAAAAGGGTTATATTAGGTTTGTGCAAAGTATGTTACAGGCAGAAGGAGGCATCTCCGATTCCATGAAGTATATATTCTTAATCAGCATGAGACTATTTCGTATACCTGCAAGCCATTTCGCCAGAAAGAAACAGGAATTGTATAAAGTGACTTCATTTTCGAAGAGAGATATTTTTCTAATCAAAGCCCATCTCATTTTGTTGACTCTGTCACTTAGGGACATGGGTTTTTTGAAAAATTAGATGCCCAAATATTTGTAGCTGTTGAATTGCTCCAGCAGCTGGTCCTACAAATTGACACCAGGACAAAGGGACCTGTTACATACACAACTAGCTTCGGGGTACACCAGTTGTATGCAGAGTATTGGAAAAGATTGTTGTAGCTTTACACAGAGATAGAATCAAAGGTAAATGCAATGTTTAAAAATCGTTGCATACGCAGCTGCGCACGAATTCGCTAATATATGCCTGACTGTGTGTGCGTATATGTGTGTGTGTCTGTCTGTCAGTCTGTCTGGGCGGAAAGAAGCGAGAGCTCACGTAGCTGGGAACGCGTTAAGCGTGCGAGCGGCGAACATCGCATAAAGTTTGCATTGTTATGCGTTCGTTTCAATGCGCATCAATGTCTTTGTGGGTGTATTTGTGTGTGGCAGTGTGCGTGCGCCTGTGTGTATGCAACGCTATTTTAGCATTGGAAATTGCGCGTAAGCGTGCGCTTGTCTACCACTCTGCCGGTCCGTCCTGCCTGCCTGTCTGTCCTGCCTGTTTTTTGTAGCTTGTCGTATAAAAGTTGAAAACTTTTATTGCTGCAATTATGCTTATCGCTTGCCCAATATCGTTTCAAAATATTATTTCGATAGCTACGTTTATGGCCAAATAAGAGCAGCAAGGGTTGCAGCAGGTCATGAGTTGGTAGCACGTGTGTGCACAGAATCGGTTAACTCGACATGTTTTAGGTAGAAACAGCAGCCGATTTGGCTGTTAGGTAAGAAGAAGAAACTGCAAACAGGCTCTAGGATGCAGAGCAGCCTTAAACAAACTATATTTTTTGCGCAGCTTTAGCTATTACTAAGATTTGAACTTATCTAATTATTATCTAATTGCTATCACGATATCTGTCTATCATTTCTTCCATCGCTATTCGATTTTATCGAAGCTTTAAGAGTTTCGTGTCTAGATAGGATTGCGTTCTTATTTTTGCATTTTTCCAATCTTTTGAAAGTTTGTTTGCTTTCAGAAAACAGTAGTAATTCATTGTTGTCTTCGTTTGTTTGCAAATAAAAAATTGCAAATAATTTGATTGTAATTTCATACAATAATTTGTAAGAGAATAGTTTAGGACAATTAATAATTTAATTTGCTAATAATTTGGTACCGGTTCGCTTTCGTTTTCTATTCCATTCCACTCTTTTGAAAGTTGGTTTGCTTTCAAAAAACAGTAGTAATTCATTGTTGTCTTTGTTTGATTGCTTTTCAAACATAAATATCAAAAGTTACAAATATTTTGATTGTAAATACATACAATAATTTAAAGGAGAATAGTTTATTCAGGTGTTGTTTATGCAGAGGCTATTCTCTGCTAATTATTTGGTAGCGGTTCGTTTTATGGATGGAACTCCATCACCAACAACATCACAAAGTGCTTTTTTTTCATACAATCAGTACACCATTCAGGGAGCCCTGTCTTAATGCAGTATAGGGCTGCATATTAAGTTTCAAGCTTAGTAGTAAATTCCGTTTGGTACAAAATTGACTTTCAAAATATTTTAGTGCAAGGATAATTAAGGCTTTGCATTGCTTGAGTGCTGCGAAGCCTTTCCCAAAGCGTGAAAATGTTGATCCATCAGCGCTCCCCTACTCGCTTTCAACAGCAGCAGGCAAGCAGCCAACCAATCGCAAATCGGTGCGCACTTTTAAAGCCCCTTTTATCTTGGCCTTTGCAAATTCGCCTACACGAGCTGGCTGTCTGCAGCAACTTGGATTCAGGCGACTCTTTAACAGCTCCTTTCGTCATGTAATAGGTCATATGGAGCTGCCTGCACATGTATGGCCTGCATGTTGAGGGCGGCGTGGTTGCACGAATATGTATGAGTGTGTGTTTGTTTGTGTGTGTGTGTGTGTGTGTGTGTGTCGTAAGAATTTAGTGCTATGTGCTATAAGCAGTAGGCGTGCGCAAGCATGCAAAGGATACATATTAATGGAGCGTAACCGTATGTAATGTATATGCTCTTAAATGCAGCTTACGTGACGCTCTCCACACGCACATGCAGACCCAGCCGGTCCTCCTGGCGCTCCTATGTCCTCATAGGTAGGGGCTGGCAAAAGACGGAATTCAGGCATCCGGGCATCCGGGCAGACAGGCAGGCAGGCCACCAAGCCACCAAGCAGGCAGCCATACAACCTATTGCAATTTTTGAGTGGGGCATGTGCTGCATGCAAATCTTGACTCTGCCCAGGACCAGGTCAGGCTCGAAACGGCACACACAGACAGAGCCACACTAACACTTATGTAACAGATGAGATGCTTGCGATATAAATTGTGGGCAAAACGCTGCAGTAGCACATGTACTCGTACTATAGATATTGCAGTAAAATTGTGGGAATTGGAATTTATTGATTGGCCATTAACCAATTGAGCAACAAGACAAGTAAAAAGCAAATGTCCAGCCAAGCTATATAATTGGTTATCATACTATATTAGAGCTGTAATCAAACCATAGAAGAACTCGATTATGAACAAAGATTGATAAAGTGGACGAGTTTATCACACACAGAGCTGCAGTCAATAAAACAGCACTACCTATTATAGAAATCTGTCCTTGATGGAGTTTTGATTGGCTACTCAGCGATTCAGGCAATGTCTTAACTTGTGATTGTGAAGAAACAACTCGTTTTTAGAAAAATGTTAAAGTTTTTTAAACAATATTTTGAATAAAAGGGGGTCTTCATTCAGTAGCAAAAGTGGCACTATTATTCAGAACTCTCGCACCTTGCTTTGGGGATCCAGCCGCAGAATTCCTTAGCTACAGAAGAAAGAAAGAAATATTCTTTCATCACGAATATATTCTACTGGACACACTAGTCTGGCGACTGCGCAGCCCTCAATATATAATGGAATTTCTTCTTCCACACAAGGCAGCTTCTCTGCATAAATAAATTGGTTCACAACAATCGAGCTATTAAATATTAAAACTATATTAATGAAGATTTGAGCCGCCGACAACAAAGCCACACTTCCACTAATTCAAAACTTAGCAAGTTACAACAAATAGATCTGTAGTTCTACTTGCTTTATTAAGGCTTTAAAACAGTTCAGAATGTAGATGTACAAATAGGTGAGTAGGCATACTATTTGGTTAAAATGATGAAACCAAATACTGAGCCCAACCACTCTCAAGACGCAAGCCCTGCCATTCAAAGAGGGGGATCTATAAACTGAATGATGTGATTACTCCACAAACACACACACACACACACACACAGCAACGTTTTGTACGATTAATGCATTCGAAGGAATCATATGTTTATTGGGAATGTGATGGAGAAATGTTGGCAGTGGGTAATACAAAACCTTTTGGCCCTGGGCCGGACTCTCCATACGCATATTGTTTTGCAGAGCAACAACAACTATAACAACAAGAATCAGTTTTGTGTATTGCTCATTATAAATGCAAAACTCGGACTATAATGCCGTTCTGCTGTTCTGCGACCGTGTCATGACGGCAGCAGCAACGTTGCAAATTTTCACATTAACGGCCAAAAAAGTTGCGGCCACACGGCCAGACGGCCATAGTATGAATAGACGGATACGGAGATAGATGCCGTATGGACACGCAACTCACGCTTCGGCCAACAGAGTTCATTGGCGAAATTGTGATGGATGGTTGTTTGCTTTCGAAAACATTTGTGCAGCCGTAATATGAGGTTTGATGGTCCAAACTAAATCTGACTCTGGTCAATGCTTTAATGCATTTAACAAATTGCATGCGAGTATGCATGTTTGGCATTTGAAACGGACAACAATTCGGACAGCGCAATTGTTGAAGGTGCAGCTAAATGGGACCGAAGTCAAGTGAAATGAAACGAAATGGATGCTATTTTTGAATAGAAATGCAACTGACTGCAGAGGATGGTTGAAAAAATCTTGACAGAAACTTTGACTTGACAGTGGCTGAGGCAGAGCTTTCTTGCAAACTCTTTAAGGGGGCTAACATTTTTGGACCAGCTTGAAAATGCTAGCTGTTACTTGTGGTTATTAGTTGATGTGTGGCTAGCTTTAAATTACATTTAAAAAACGCTGTGGAAAACGAAATGTTAGAGCCTTTACAAAGCATTTTTTTATAGTGGGTTTACATTTACGTGGAAATAGTAAAGAGTAGTATTTATTTGTTAGGAGTGTAAATATTTGTTTGTTTAAATATTTATTTGTGAGCAGTGGAAATATTTAATATTCAATTTAATTAGAAGCCTCGATAGATTTATGAAAATATTGTATACAGTTATATATATATGGAATAAACTTTCCTAAAGTTATAAACTAAGGTTCCATCACTACCCGTACCCGCTTTGTTTGCAGTATATATTTTGGGGAAAATCTTTGACTCAAATATCAACTGATAGCGCTTAACTTGTAAGCCAATAACATGAGATCAGGGTTCTTGCTCCACAGGCACTACAATAACGTGTTTTGTAGCTGGCACAACAATTAACTGGTGTAACTAAAGCAAAGATAAACCCTTTATTAATCCCATCGATAGGCCAGTAACTGCTTACTCATCCATTCGTTTCGCTCTCCTACTTTACACAGAAATGGAAAGTGCCCCTCGTAATGTACAAGTGCGCCCGCTCAGCTCATCGACCATGGTTATTACTTGGGAACCGCCAGAGACGCCCAATGGACAAGTGACCGTAAGTACCTGGCATCGAGCTCGCATATTAAACCTCAAAAGCAATAGCAACAACGAACGGAACGAGCAGCTAGCCAGCCAGCCAGCCAGTCCTTCCACCGACTACCACTTTGTCACGTCGACAGTGGCAATGGCAGTGGCAGTGGCTAGGAAATTGCCAAATGCCGTTAGCCATGTTTGGAATTTGGACAGCAGAGGGAGTCGGGCGAGGGAGCGAGCGAGTGAGCGTTTAAATGCAAATATGGAAATGAAATCAAAGCAACACGACTCGACACAACTCGGCTCGGCTCAGCTCGACTGGGCTGGACTGGACTGGCAGCCATTTGATCGACTAAATTGTTGAACCACAATTGTTGTGGTCGAGAGTAGTGTAGTAGTTGCAGCGTACGACCAAATTATAAAGTTCAAAATCTGAGACCACAAGCAATAATTCTTGGTTATCAGTAGTCAGTCAATGCGTAAATATTTAAACAAATATGCAAAGTTCAAATGACAATTTGGCTAACAAGCTTTGGCTTGTGGCCTATGCGGCCTATGTGGCCAGCAATTAGACGCATTTATATGAAACCCAGCCCCACTCATTCCCCCACTCTCACTCTCTCTGTATCACTCTCTTTGCAGGGCTACAAGGTGTACTACACGACAAACTCAAATCAGCCGGAAGCCTCTTGGATGTCTCAAATGGTTGATAACAGCGAACTGACTACAGTATCTGAGTTAACACCCCACGCCATCTATACGGTGCGCGTGCAGGCGTACACCTCCATGGGTGCCGGTCCCATGTCCACACCGGTCCAGGTGAAGACACAGCAAGGTGAGCAAATTGATAGAGCAATCAGCTTCAATTAGGCATTATCATCGTCATCATCGCCATCGCCATCGTCATCATCATCATCATTGTGCAGTGGACAGCAAATATGCGCAATTTAATTGCCCAATTCAATCGTTGTGCATAGATCACACCAATTATTTAATTATAATTCGAAATGTCGGGCGAAATGTCTGTCGTAGTAATGAAATATTTATGCCTGCCTATGTAGCTATTACACATGCATACATACTTACATATACAGATATTGGTGCTGAATATGTGGTTATGGCCTCAGGAATATACACAGATACATATGTTCGTTATTGTGGGCTGGGTTCGCACACGACAATTGCATTTGTCGTACTTCAATATGCAAGCTAAGTTGGTAATGCATGTTCCTCATGACAGTGTGTGTGTGTGTGTGTGTGTGTGTGTGTATGAGTTCAACTTAAAGCGCTTAGTTAGTCGCATATGCTAGTTACTTAGTTACCTAATGCGCTTAGGCTTATTGAAAAGTTCTATGCTGTTATGAATTTCCTGAACCAAACCCCAATCTCAAATGCGTTTATTTGAATATGGCGTATTTTCCGATTTTTGGCCAAACTCAACCCGGTTCAATGAAAAATTAAATACATAGGCTATAGAGGTCGCAGAACATTTAAGTTTATTACAGATAGCTCGAAATATTGATACTATTGATAGCAGAAGTTGTTTTCATGTTAAATACCGGCCTTTTCGAAGGACAACTGTCTCTACATAAAGAAGAATATAAGCAATTCTTTATTCATGCAATTCGCCTTTGAAGTCAACTACCACCGGATTTGAAGAAACTTAGTAGTGCATCCTAAAATGTAACTTATTGTTCAAAACGAATATGTAACTAACATTATTTTTTACATTTTATATTCGATGCATAACAAAATCCAAAAAATTAAAGTCTAAATTTTAAAAAATAGGTTGAGTAGGTTAGTCAATCATTTCAAATTTTATAAACGAATAATTTTATGTTTTGTGACTAGTAAGAGTTTTTCTTGTCGCACTAGGAAAGTCAGAAAAATTAAGAAATAAAATATCTGTACAAATTGTTTGGCATATGAACAGAATCCGCAGTAATAAGTAGGTTCAAGTAAATGAAAGTTATTAACTATTTTACAACAACTATGCAACGATTTATACCATTTGTATTGTATATATCAGATTCAAAGATGAATATGCAAAGAATTAGCGATGTATTGTTTTTGTTTTAAAGTTTTTTTCTGATATATTCCATCAACTTAGGATCCATGTTACTTTTAAGTGTATGTTGAGGAATATTCAGAGCAACTTTAACGGCTTTGCACTGGTTCTGTAGGCAAGGACTATATATAATGTACATATGTCATAGATTAGATTATATTATAACATTTAGATTATATTCATTTAACTGCTTAGTATAACTTACAGTTTTAGCAAACTTAGAGCTTGAAATCGCAATAAACCACAAGAAACAAAGGCGCATAGGCTTTTAAAGGTTTTAATGACATTCCCTTGATTTTTATGTAAACTCAGGTGCAGCTGATGAACTCATCAATTGTTTAGGATTAACTCTAACCAGGACATGGTTATTCAACTCTCACATTACCTCTCTCATCCAGAACCCTACAAATGCGTACCACAATCAATTTCGGCTGAGCCCATTTATTGCCACAAACAGGCAAATAACAAATGCATGTTTGTTAGTACGAATATGTAGATATCATCATCTGCATACCATCTGCATGATGGTGGGGGAATAAATATAAATAAATGCCACATTGATTTGTTTGTATTTTATTTAATTTCCGTAATTTCCGTTTCATTATTGCCAACCAAACAACCACCGAATCGAATCGTATCGAATTGAATTGAATCGAATCCCAACGAAATGAAACGAACCAAACAAACTTGGCCAACATTTACGCACAACTCGCCAGGTGTGCCATCACAACCGAGCAATTTCCGGGCCACTGATATCGGCGAGACCGCAGTGACACTGCAATGGTCGAAGCCGACACATTCCAGTGAGAATATTGTGCATTACGAGCTTTACTGGAACGATACATACGCCAATCAGGATCATCACAAGTGAGTTTGACAGCTTCAGCCAATTATAAATACATCTAAATACATACTACATTGATTCTAATATGCATTTAGGCGCACTTCGAACCTTGAATCCTATACGCTTGATGGTTTGTATCCTGATACCCTATACTATATATGGCTGGCAGCGCGTTCGCAACGAGGCGAGGGCGCCACAACACCGCCCATACCCGTCCGCACCAAGCAATATGGTAAGTCTGCGATGGCATTATATTAGAAATAAGGTTAGGACCCAACAACTACGACAACCAATCAATCACATAACTAAGCTGTAGCAGTCGTACAAGTTTCTATAGTCGGCTTTAAGATTAAGTGAAATGAATGAAACGAAATTGAAATTGAAATTGCGTTCCAATTGTTCCAATAAACATACATATATAAATATACAATTATTATATATAACATACATATTACCATATGCATATGTTTATATGCCCATATACAACGCCTATCTATATATACATATGTATACGTAGTTGATTATTTCGTTCAAATCCCCCTATATTTATACATAAATATTTCCCATGAAGTGTGTATGTATGCGAGCGTGTGTGTGTGTGTGTGTGTGTGTGTGTGTGTGTGTGTGTGAATTTATGAAGTTGTTTAAAGCTCACGTGGAGACAGGTAATTGCTGGTTTGATTATACGAATATGTGCGTGTGTGTATTCATGTGTTTGTGTGTGTGTATGAGTTCTGTATGTATTTCAATTTATTGTACTATTCTATCTAAATATTGATATATTTATGAATAATACTCGTATATATATATAGTATGTTTGTATTGTTCTGGTCTTGCAATTTATTAAGAATTAAGTTTTATATAAACACTACATAGAATACATATACTCTACATATACCATACATATACTATACATTTACTATATATATACTATACATATAAACCCATCATAAACCAGCTAATGTACACAGTCTACATACATATACAATAATTTATGCATACACTATAAGCCACACATCACAATTAGACATTATACAAGAGCTTAGGCTACCAAAGCTGTGGTCAGACGCGCAAATAGTTTGCGCTCTTTGTCACTCTTTTTACAAATCGAACAAAAGGATCGTTTGTTTTTCCTTTTGAAAAAAACAAAATTAAATTCGGGCTTTTAAAGCTATTTTTATTTATTTTCAAATATTTATTATACAAATTCCTTCACAGGAATGAATTAAGAGATTCGCTTTAAAGAAACTCAACTGTTTAATTAGAAATGTTTCTGTCTTTTGACTGCAAGATCTAAGATATTGGTCAGACAGGCAAATTACTATACAAATTCTTTCACCTGTTTGTACAAACCAATTAAAACTAGTGTGGTTTATAAATGGTTCTACTTTTATTTAAAAAACTTAATTTGCTTATTTAACCAATTCAACCAAATCAAATAAGCAAATTGTCATACAAATTTTTCAATTTCTTTGTACAAACTATAAAATTTGAACATAAAAATCTTTAGTTCAACAACGTTTCTTTTTTGTTACTTGTCTGCAATCAAGAATTAAGTCTAATTGCTGTACAAATTCATTCTATATTCTTTGCTTAAAAATTATATTGAACTTTTGTAACATTCAAACAATTGAAGTGCAAAATATTTGCCCGCCTAATCATTAATTGTGATCACACAAGCAAACTTGTTTATACAAATTCTGGCAAACAAACCTTGTAAATAAAACCTTTTCCCCTATCTTTCTATCACATTAGACAAGTTTATGTGCAAAATATTTGCCCCTTTGACCACAACTATAGATATAGTTATAGTTATGAAAAAATTAAAGCATAGCCAAGAGAATGACATTTGGAATCAAATGTTGTTCAGAAGCAGCCCGGAGTATGCAATCGAAAGGTTTTTAGCCATTAATATAATGGATATCGTTGTTTACTTAATTCCAATTTCACAAAACTATGCAGCAGGAAGCAAACTATAAAGAAAATACAAACCTGAAGTATGCAGTGTTTCACAAAATTTGCAGTAGGAAACAAATAATCAAGAATGTGTAAACTTGAAGTGAGCAATTTGTAAGCCTTATTTATTTACTAAACAAAGAAAAAATGCTGTCGGATATTAAAAGTACAAACTATAGCAGCAATTCCCAATACCATGTATGTGATTTATGCAATTGAGAGATTCGATTATTATTATTATCGATTCCACTAAATTCACAGAAGAAAGCAAAAGATAAGTAGCATGCAATCAATCATAGACCTCCCTATTTATTAGATTAGTAAAGAAATAATTATTTTCACTAGCACAAGAGTGTTTAGCAGCAAAAATAAAAATCTGAAGTATGCAATCGAAATGCGAAACGTGAAACTCAAGCGAAATGAAATCGATTGAATGTCTAAAATGCTCGCGGGCTGCTTTTCCAAATACTTAGCTGCCTCGGAGATTTGTTGATACACCCGATACCAACAATAACAATAACAACAACAACAACAACAGCACAAGTAAACAGAACCACACCACAGTCGAACATATTGTTTTATTGCTCTTAGCAATGCAATGCAGAGAATGTTTTCCGTTTTAAAAACTATATTTATTTGAGCATTTAAGTGTTAATAGCTGCCTGAAATGTATGTTATGAATGCACTGCATTTTAAATACTTATGTCTATACTTGTATAATCGTGTATGTATTTAACTATTTGCTCTCGTTTAATGATTTCCTCCGTTCTCTGTTTCAAGTGTTAAGCCATGTAAATTATTCCAGTCTGGTCCGCATGTGTGAACTACTATTCAAATGTCAAATTTTAAATGCACTTTTGCACCAACAGACCACTCTGCACAAAACCACAAGCCAGTCAGTCACTCCGTCAGTCAGTCATTTAGTGAGTGAGCTTTTAATAGACATTGATTTGGAATTAGACATACAGATGTACATATGTACTCGTATATTCGACTCGACTCGGCGGAATGTATATTTGTTGAATGGGCATTTGCGTAGAGAGGCGGAATGTCGTAAGTGCCGAGGAATACGAGTATGGTTTTGATTTCCGCACGTTTTGCATATGATTTGCGCATAATTATAGTTTAAATGGTTATTTTAGCAACGATTTTGTGGCTTTGTCATGGATACTCGTATGTATTGAGACATTGCACAATGGATTTAATGGCAGAGCTGCAGATGAAGAAATCCCTGCGATATCGTTTCGAATTTATATGCAAATTGTTTAAATAATTTCGATTGCCTGCTATTTGAAATGGTTGTGGCTTGAAAGCCATGTTCAGCCCAAATGTATTTAGTTTTTAATTATTATATACCTATATTGTTGTATTTATCTTTACTCTGCACGCTTTAATTATTTAAAGAACATTTATTTTGCACTTTTAAGGCCAATGCTAGTTAGTTATTTTTATGATTACAATTATTTTTCAATTCGTGTCGTCTTCCAGCAAATGAAAAAAAAAACAATGTACCCCGCCCACATGGTTTATGCAAATCAATGTTCATATCTGTGTATATACAAACTATATATATATCTGTTTGTGTATGTTTGTATCTCTCTCAGCAAGCTTTAAAATTTTCTATGAATTATGTAAACTAGAGATATTTTCTCTACAAACCTAGTTGTTTATTATAGTGTCTGAGTGTCTTTCTAATCGTACCAGCATGTTTTATTTTTTATAAAAAGAATTAAGTATAATAGTTAAATATTTTTAAGCTATTAGTTGCTAGCAACATTTTTAGTTTAGCTGCCTCATATACTAAGTATAATTCTCTCTTAGCTCGTTAAAATTTCAGCTGAAAATCGTTACCAAAAAATATGCACAATTATTTATGACAACAGCAAAAAAAAAAACAAAAACAATTAAAAAAGCAATTGTTGATTAAAAGGAAAAGCAACATTATTTGCATAAACCATTGGATATATCTATATAAATACTTATATTATTGTATGTCTTGAGATTTCATTTAATTAATAATCGTTTTATTTTCAATATAATACATCATTATGCTTTACCATTTCTTTATCGTTTCATATTTTGGTTTGATGTTCCATAAACTTTTTCGTTGGTTTAACGCTAATCGCTGAACGCTACTACCTACCACATGTTTCTCAACTTATGCAACCTAATGTGTTTTTTTTGCTACAACCGCAATCAAAAATAAAACAAATCTATGCACAAAAAAAAACAACCACACAAAAAAATACGTTCCGTTCCCATCTATGTAATTAGTACCAGGTGCACCGCCACGCAATATCAGCGCTATTGCCACCAGCAGCACGATGATCTCCGTTAGCTGGCTGCCACCGCCCATTGAGCGCTCGAATGGGCGCATCATATACTATAAGGTCTTCTACGTCGAGGTGGGTCGGGAGGATGGTGAGGCGACCGTTAGCACACTCAATATAACGCACATTGTGCTCGACGAGCTGAAACGCTGGACCGAGTACAAAATATGGGTACTAGCCGGCACCTCTGTGGGCGATGGTCCGCGCTCCCATCCCGTCATTGTCCGCACCCAAGAGGATGGTATGTATTCCAATTGAAAATTCGCGCAAGCGTAAGTCTTAATTGAATCGTATTCTCTATTCCTTTTCATTTCATTATTCTCGTCAATCAGTTAACATTTTCATTTTGAAACCTTTGATATAGTTTCGGTTTATTATTACAACTTATTGGTTATCTATGTATATCTACAAGCATATACCTCTCATATGTACTAATCAAAGAATTTTGTACAATTTTTGAATTTTGGAAACGAGCATCCACTACAGGAGCTGCTGGAACTCAATACGCGCAATGGAGCGTTTATCTTTTGAACCTATTTTTTCTGTATACAACTAAATTCCAAGTATTTTCTTCAGTTTTAGAGCTGTGGTACAAATTTTTGAAAACAGCCACATATTGTTTCATACATATTATTATTGTTTTTCTTAAGCCCCGTAGTTAATGTCCTTTACCTATCCTATTCAGGCTTTCTACAATGTCAAACCCATCCAAAGTTTTATTAGAATTCCAAAACATTAACTGTTCAGAAAAGTATTATTGAAGCAATTTGAATAGAACCTTTGTAAGAATGTTGTATTTATTCAACTGAAGACCAACAATTCACATTATACATTTCTTAGGCACTTTTCGAATCATATAATATCATAATATTTGTGATCCTGTTTTAATAAATACTTAAATTTTAGTTGAACTTTCATAGGTACACTTAATAACTTTTGTACCGCATACCAAAATACCAAGCAAATGATGTACCTCATACACCTCTGTTAGGTACACCCTCAATATTCTTGCTTAACTAAAACGGAACACATTTATATTGCACTACTGCTTTTAAATACAATAGTTGGCTTGGCCAGGTACGAAAAGTACTCGCCAGTTACCAAAAAAGTACCGTACATTTTAGTATATTGTACACAATTTGCAAAAAGATTTTATACCGTGTACATTACCTAGAAACTTTGGTTTTGGAGTACATTTCACCTCAACTAGGTACAACAAAACTTGTACCTGGTCCTACTTAGTTTGAAATGTGCTTATGTACCATGTACGGAGTAGGTTTTGTAACACCTATGGTACATTTTAGCCACACATGATCTTGTATTATTTGTCAAATTTAACAAATATATTATCCCGTACTATTGAAGAAATGTACCCAAGAGGTTTATGTTCCTTAGTCTACTATTGTGAATATGCTTTAGTACAATCAAATAGAAGTGAATATACTTCGATTCTTTATTCGATCCAAGTCGAAATTTAAAACTAATCATTGAAAATGTGAATAAATTGAAGTAGGGCCTCAACTGGCTTCTGGCTAAATATAATTAGTACCCTTTCCTGTGAGCCCAAGCTTAACCATAGGTACACATTCCTAATTTGTACAATATTGTTAACCACAATGGTGACTTGGTTCATATTTTAGGTAACAAGCTCTGAAAATGGAAATGAATTGATTTAGCGCCCCAAATATTTATCCAATAAGTTAATTCACCCAAACCTTCTCCATTCACACTCACAAAATTTTCGTCTCTACATTTTAAGCAATTTAAGTTCTTGTTATAGCTATTTTGCTCTTGTTTACATATTGATTTCGTTACCATACCAAATAATTATTGTTTACAAATATTTAACAAAAAAAAAAAAAAATTAAAAATTGAAAAACAAATTTATAATTGGTACTATAAAATTGCATATTTTTTGGCGCAATTTTTGACTACTACCTACTACTTTTTTGCACTTGTTCTCTATACGAAACTTTTTTTTAGCAGAACTCTTGTACTGTGTATATGCAACAAATAATTTTTGTTCCTTACTTGACTCGCAAAATCAATTGTCTCGAGCAAAGAAAAACCAAAAATTTCCAAACAATTGCGAACCGATTGTTATAAATCTAATAATAATTATATAATATTAATACCTTTTTTGATATATACGTATATACTACATACATATAATGCATCGATTTTTGTGGTAATTTGTATAGCACCAAAAGCAATGAGCTGTGTTTTTGTAAGAGCACCAGAAACAACAACAACTACTACTACTATACTACTCTACTACTCAACATACTCCCCAATATACGTATTAAACTAATACTCGTATGCAGCATATAAAGAAATTATGATTTTTGTGATATGAAAACAGCACACCATTTTAAATATTTCATTAATTTATTTACATAATTAAATTTATGCAATTATAAATGTAAACAAAGCCCCCCAGCCATGCATTTGAGACCGCCCTCCCACCACCAACCCCAACCAAACCAAACCAAAAGCAAACAACAAAAACTATCCGCAATATGTTTATTTATTTTGGCGTACGTTCCCACAACAAATAATGCAAAATGTTTTGCGCGTTGTTGATTTCCACTTAAATACTTTTATTTATAGTATGTATTATTTTTTTTGCGTACACCACACACACACACACGCACACACACAAAGATACACACCACCTCATGATGTAATATTTACATGAATGCATACATATTTAATAACATTTTGCAAAAGTTTGGTGTACAAATTTTTTCTTCTCCCTTTGGTTTTTGGCACATTTTGCACTTTGGCCCCGATGTGTGGGGCGCGTTTTGTGATTTTTGTATTTATGTCCATTGCTATGCAAATAAAACGGCACACATGAACATACAATACATATGTACTATGTATATACTTTTTCCCACAACCGTTTCATGTACAAAATTCACCCAATTTTTGTATTTCATTTTATATGTTGACACATTTTATTAAGTTTTATTTGCAATCACCTGCATGTTTGCACAATTAAAACATTTACACATTTGTACTGGCTCGGTTTTTTGTTTTTTTCGTTATTATTATTATTATTATCATTGTTTGTTGTGAATGCCAGTGAGAGGCCCACAGTCTTTTTGGAGCTTCCACCCTTCTTTGCAGCATTTGTTGTTGTTTATATTCTTAATTTTTAAACAAACAAACTGGCGAACTGGCTGCATTAATGGCCAGTCTTTTTATTCCAGTTTTTCATTTCTTTTGACTAAAATATGCACAGCTGTTCAAGAGTCGGGCTCAAAGTTTTTATTTAAAACAAATATTTATCTCCCAGCCCACGAACTATTTATAAGTCGAATGAGTTATTGCAGTTTTTGCACAAACCTGTAGGTTAGGACAGAGGAAATAGTCTGCCACAATAGTATTTAAAACGATAATGGGACTTAAGGGTATATATATTGCAAAAAGCTAAACATCGAAGAACTTCGATTGTACAAGGGTGTATCTAAGGCGAGAGATTTTAAAACTCTTTGTGAGCGTCAAGCTTTAGAGAACTTTAAACTGATGTGATATTTCACTCTAGTGTTTCCTTCCTATAATAAGAAGCAAGATTCCAGAACTCATTTTGACCCGAGAACTTTCAAGAGACGAGATACTTTTCTCCAGAGGCCCTTTCCTATATGGTGTGCCATGCTTCGGACTACAATTCATTGCTTTGTCAACATAGTCTCCTTTTATTTCAATGCTCCTTTTGTTTTCGAAAAACTACATATATATTGACATCATTAAAATAGGCAGATGACCACAACAGTTGACTAAATGTGGCGCTAGAACAGGTTCACTTAATTGTAAAAAATTACTGTTGCGTTGTTTTCTTCTTTATGCAAGAAGCTTTTCAATTCGCGCTTGAATATATGGTATAACAAGAATCAATGAAAACCAGATTAGACGTTACGATTTACCAAAAAGGAAATCCAGCTCAACCAGATGAAAGTAATGAACTGATTTTCAGCTAAATTCCTTATTCAGCCTGTTATTTATTTTCATACATTTTTGTAAAGTAAATATCTATTTCTTGATGTATTGTTTCAAACTATTTTGAAACGTTTCTAAAACTTCCATGAAAAAAAAACAGATTTCAGCATACTTCTAAGTGCAACTTTTGAATTTTTCTACACCAAACATTTATTTAATAACTTTAAAGCAACTAACTAAGCAACAACAAAGAATATTAGTTTTATTAAAAAAAACAGCAATAAGCGTTAAGGAAATGGATACAGATTTTGTTAGTTCAGCGAAAGAGACTGACTTGAAGATTTTTAAAAAATGTAACTTCCATTATTTGGTCAAGGAATAGAAGTTTTTATATTGACAAGATTTAAAAATTTTGACGACAAATATTTAGAAGCTCAATTGTTTGTTTTTAACGAATCTGTATTGAAACATACAAAGCTTTTTTCTTTCTCATAAACACAATGTCTAGGAAAAAACTTTGCGATCGTTTAGTATTTTATTTCTAATTATTTCACACTTTTAATTAGAACATTATTTCATCAAACAATGCATAGTTTTCACCGATCATCTATCAAGTAAACTGTGTACAGCTCACCAAATCACTATTTTAAACTCTACACATTTTTTCGGACTTTTTGGCCATGAATACCGGGCCGTGCATATGCGAAAGATTTTTGATTATTAACCTAGAAACACAAACATATATGTACTTATACCTTATATCTTTTGTTTTATTCAAACTTTGTTAACTCTTTGCCGTTTTCATTTTAAAACTGCACCAACTGCTTGTTAGCTGTTGACTTGCTTGTTTAAACCTCTACTTTATAAAATGCCTTCCACTCATGTGCTTTTCATTTTAAAGTCCCACACCAAATGGGCGTAACTACGATATTATCCATTATCCTTGTTTCAATTGTCTAAACTAAGCACAGTTAACTAACGTACTCAATTATTAAGTACTTAAGCACCTATCTATATATGTATATGTATTTGCGAGTAGTACGTCTCCATAGTCACGAAAACTAAGCTAAGCATTAAGCACACTACAAAGGCACTTTGTAGCACTTAAAACTATGTTGTATGACTAAGCACTAAAAAGCACTGATAAGCACTCTACCGGCACACACCTGTTAAGCCGGTGAAAAAAAATATATATAAAAAATAATATTAAGCACACACAAACACACTCACAAACACCCACTAGCGGCTGTAATGAAATTTGTTCTTTTTAAGGACTCATCACGTGAACTAAGGGCAAAT